TTTGGTGTTCATTGGTAGCGACCATTCTGTAACTGGAGATGTTGTGCACGCACGGTAATAATGACAAAACTCATTTACGATTTGCTTGATGAAAAAAGCATTTCCTCATCAAATCTGTACCTTTTCTGGACTTAGGAGTTACTTAAGAGAAGACCCGCCTTAGCAGACCCCTTTGAAGAAATAGTAGCAGATTTTTGATGAAAGCGGAAGAGGGGGAAATGGATAACCCTCCTTTGGAGGTGTCAAATTGAGCGGAAATTTAAAGATAAGAAGCCCATTATCATTTTATACGTAATATATGGTGCGATCAAACCACACAGCACTCCAAAACCGTAGATAATTGGAAGCAAGATTTTTGATAAAAGGAAAAAACACCATGTTCTATATAAGGATTTTGAACCATGTGAATCGCTGCAGCTCGCATTTCCTACATTTGATATTAGCTCAGAAAATCCCGCCAGAACGACATATGACTCAATTTTCTTGAATGGACGCCGTCGACAGTGCAGCTATTAAGTAGAAAAGTGGAACCTAGTTTATACTTTCTAGCCTCTAAACAAACAAGAAGCTGTCTCAGAACGGACTTTACGACGAGTTAACCAGAACATAATTTCGTCAAACAAGCGTGTGCAGTCGATTTGCCACTACAACAACAATACACCCCTTTACATTTTTTCACGGCAGGGTGTTATGTGTGATGCAACCACAATCAAATAGGCAGTAAATAAAAAGTTAACATTGTGATTTTCAACTACAGCCTCACCCTAACTGGTTTCAATGCAGCTTTGAACTTCTCAGATCAATCCCGTTGACGAGTGATTGGTGATGCCAGTGATCGATAGAGAACTAGCTGAGAGACAAGCGAAACGAAGGACCCGCATGGTGTGGTGAACGCGTTACTCCCGGAAAGAACAATAGTGCGTTCGTTCCCCACCGCAAACACCTGCTGTCCGGAGTTTTGCAAATATCTCAGCGTCATTGTGGTAGTATCTATTCCCTTATGCAATAACATATTTTTCACGTTATTTGTGCACTGCTCCACAAGCTCTTACTTTTCTCTGCAATGCATGATGAAAGCACTTTTCTTTAACCACTTGCAAATTGTCAAGTAGAATACAACTACAATTAGGCCCAGATACTTACAAAACTCGATGACTAAGTCACTTTCGAACCAACACTCTGCCTTTGTGAATATCTAGTCGAAGTATCTAGTAAAACTTGAAATATGTTCTTGCTTCACAGCTAACTAGGGTGCATTTTGTAGTGCATTTCTATGTTAGCACCTGCACACTTGTATAGCCACTGGCTAAGTAAGAGTCGCTCCGATTGCAGTAACATTTGCTCTCAGTCAGTTTGTGTGAATTGTCCCCATACTTTGAAATCGTTCGTGGTTTTCTGCTTAATACTCACCACTTGTTCTTCTTTCAACGTACATGCACTCGAATTACTTTACTAACTAGTGGTAACTAATTTTCTTCATTATCAGTGAATTGAAGCAATTCTTTAGTAATTCCCAAGACAGACTTTCTGTTAGTCTCGGAATTGGTAGGATTACTCACCGTATTCTTGATGAGCAAGCACGAGGTGTTATCTTACTCTCCATTGGTGATCAGCCAAACGAATCTATAACCAATACAAGAAGAACATGAAAGAAAGATTTTAATCATATTGAAAACAAAGTGGCATCATAGCTCATGACCTAACCACTGAGTATTCCACGTGAAGGACAATCGCACAGTTCATGTGTTTGAGTATTGTACCTCTCTGACATTAAAATATAAATTTAAGCATCGTGTGTGACCATTGTGATTATTTGATTTCGTTGTTAGGTTTCATGGTTATTCGTTGGGTTTATGGAAGTATTTACCTTACTGGGCTATAGTCAATGTGGCCTTTCCAGGCATTGAAGAAGGCGAAATCCGCCGAAACGCCAGGTTCCGTAAAAACGCGGTGTAATAAGAATTGGTTTGTGCTTTTTAAGCAAACAGCAAATTATTGTTCCATTCCGAGGTTAACGGGAAATCGGTTTTAGAAGTCGCTAACTCGTTACGTCGGTGAACACATTGTATGTGCAAGACATGGATTTAGTAGCCTCTACGATGCTCGGATGTTCCGACCTACTACTAAGCCTGGTTTTGTGCGTTTCGTCATCGAAGAGATAGCGTGAGAGTAGAAGTCGTGGGTTATATTCTCTACTACTTTCCTTTAAGCCGTGACTTTTCTATCTCAACGTAGGAGAGCGATTATCTTATTCTTGCATTTAGCGAGATTTCCCGAGTGCTGTTCCATTTGACCGCAGCTTCGGCCAATTCTGCTGCTGTTTTCTCTTGAAAAGCCTCTTTTTCCACTTTCTGCAAGGTACTCATTTGATTTCATGGTTTCCTATCTATTAGCTCGAGTGTTTTTGGTAACAGCTTTCTCCTTGTGACCTTCGAACAACTCTCATCTCTCATAGAACATACATGAACATGTTGAATGAGGTGTTGGCATTCTCTGCGATGTTATTGTAACGGTATCTTTCCAAAACTCGAATAAGGAACCGAGTAAGTGCTAGCCTATGGCAGTTTTTAAATCTCTTTTTGGATTTCGAGCTTTTCCTACATTAGTCCAGAAAAAGAAACATTGGCAAAGTAGACGATAAATTTTTTATGCACTTTATGATGGTTTACTTGATTGCGGTGCTGTCCACTTGGAGATTACCACGTCCAACCTTAAAACTAAGGCATCTGCAATGATGAGTTGACGTTGATGCTATTAATAGTTGTCATAAACTCAAACAGCCGACTACGCTGTTCATTGAATTTTAATTCTCAGGTACCGTAGTAAGGTCTTTCAACCGTTTCCATAGTGTAGTCTTAGGACTACAGTCACCAATGATGACTCTGAAGAAACGGTGATCTTCCCTGCAGAACTTCTCCTAACTTATGAACGGCGAGTTAATTTCACGTTCGTCTTAGCTAGATATGTGAACACAAGCGACGAAGAAGACTTTTAAAAAAGAAATATGCCCACATATCTACACCAGTAATGATCCAATTTGGGTTATTAGTTGTTGTGACGAAGCAATCAATCCCTATTGCCGAATGCCAACACCGCCAACCTCTTGACAATTGTAAGTCCCTAGAAATAGATTTTCGCTGATATCATAAAAGGCGTTAAGTGTGTGCAACGTTCTCAACGTTCTAGAGATATGAGACCAGCAGTGATCAGATGTAAGCGTGTGTAACTTATAAACAACGGTCATCCTTTTAGTCCTTATCGATTTAACCGTCCTAGAAAGACAGATTTTCACTAACTCTCCGTAGTCATCTTGTGCAGCGCTGTCGTTGCGTCCTTCGCAGTCGACGAAATGAAGCCCATTTATATTATTGTTCGGCTGATGATATCCATGAGTAACGTGCCAAGTTCTTAATGCTTCCTTTTCAGAATTGAATATGGAGCCTATTTGTCGGACTCGAATCCTGACCACCTCTCATGCAATTCCCTTTCACCCGACTGTGAACTAATTGGCCTGAACAATACAGTGGACATTTATGAGTTCACACTAACCCTATGCATACATGGAAGTGTCTTAGTAAATATACAAGGGCACATTTCAATTCGGCGCAGCCGAAACACCGAAATTTGAGAATATATCTTCTCTTTAAGGAAGAAAAATGTCGCTTTTGGTGTGATTTTAGCTCTCTAGCCAACATCTGGGCTGACGACGCTTATTTTAGAAACTGTCTGAGTGGGCATCGCTTATTTATGTCTGTAACATATTTGCTCTACATAGTCCATCATTAGATCTGCCAAGCGGATCTCAGCACTTGTATCCGCCTTGTTTTTCTCGCATTCATCTTCCACGAAAGTCTTCGAACACCCCGCGTGTTGTTTCGGGTTCTGCTTGAGGATTTAATGTTCTATATGAATGTCGTAGAATGCTGGCCGTCTCGATCATCCTTGCTATCTTGAACGTAACCGAGCTAGGGTGTTCTCATATAGATTGCAGGAAAACATTGAGGTAGGTTTCGAGACTCAGACCTCCACTTTTCTTGCTGATGGAGTGCATCGGCGTCAGCTGCGTCTTACTGAAGGTGTGGTAGTTTCTCTAGCTATCGAGCAAGTTGAACGTCGAGGAAAACTTTAATGCACAATAGGAATGGATCAAGAATGAGCAGCAGTCAGATTTACATTCGCCTCTGTAGATGATCAAAGTGCTTGCTGGTGATATTGGTAAATGCGCCTTTATTGCCAAATTAAGTCACCTTCGCCATTGCGTGGAACATTTCCTATGGCAAGAAAGAATCACTCATGGAATTCAGAAAATGAAATCGTGGATCCTTTATTAACTGCGGCTTTTTAGCCCATGTTTAATCTTAGGTTTCCCGAAAATTTCTTTGTTTCACATGTGTTTAAATTGTTGAGCTCACGCGAGGTTATTACAGACTTCTATTCAGCTTACATTACGACGTCTTCGTCTTCATCAGAGCCGATGATCAGAGTCGATGGTCTACAGCTGTCTTCTCGATTTGGTCTCTTCATCTTTGTATCGAGTCGGATCTTTCTCAGTGGAGTGTCTCTTGAATGAGGCATTCTCACTTGGCGACACTCTATATAACCCGACGCTCAGCCGCATTGTCTAGGAAGACAAGTCATTATCACAGGACAATCACTATTATCAAAATCCATCGCCGGGTGTGCATGCCTCATTCGAGCGATGATCCTCTGAAGAAGATCCGGCTCGATACCAAAACGATGAGATCACATCGAGAACACGAATAACTGTGGACCATCGACTCGGATCATCAGGACGTCGAAACTTTAGCCAAATAAAGTTTATTAATCAACCAATTGTTAGCTTATCAATGAACGAATACACGTTCATCAATACAGCTGTGGTGTTGTCAAAAGACTATGTATGGTACTGTTAAGTCGATACAATTTCGGCGATCTTTATTGCATTTGGTTAGCTTAGTACAGAAATTCTCAATCGATTCTTAAGATTCAATCATTCTAAACTATTCAGTTTTGGTTTTTTCTCTTAGAGAAAGACATTTTCTCAAAAGTTTAACAATAACAAAAACAACAAGAAGGAAAGCAAACACGCATGCTAACAAGACATCTATCAGATAGTACTCCAAGAGGGATAAATGTCGTCCATAAGGATCAAGATTGGGTAAAGTTCCAAATCTGAAGTGAATATCTTACAACCAACTGCAACAGCACATCGGTGGCTTAAATCACTGCAAATTCTGTAAGTGCGACCTTACCCTTAGAGATGAAAACAGAAAATCGAGCTAAAGGCGGAGAATGAAGCAATTAACATGTGTCTAAATTCCTGTCCATATTAAAAGCCATGTACTAGCTTTTACCTTGCTTAGTACTACGTACTGATTATCGATTTGAATAAATACGTGGTAGACCATGTATTAAGAATGTCTTGAGAAAGCGAAATTTAAAACTTTGGCGAGGTCTTGACACGCACCCATCACAATAGGTTTTTTGGATTTCAAGCATTTTCCATTTGACCCTTGTGAGCATGATTTTTGTGTTATGTGAACTATCGATTTTTCATTTTCAAAGGGAATATTCCACGTTTCCTTGAAGATCAAAGGCGATGCAGAGACTATACAATAGATTGCTAATACTTACCTGGCGGCGAATTCACTATGCCTGACAAGAAGTTGCTTGGGGCTGATAGGTTGATTCCGAAGTATTTCCGACAGGAGACGAGCATTATCAGAAAAGCTGAGAAAAAACTTCCATCTAGTCAATATTTTGAGTTACCAAACTCAGAATTACACCAGCAGATGAAAGAGTGAGAACAAAAAATGGTCAAGGACGACACCTGGCATCATTGAAGATCTTAATTAGTGAATCCCGTAGTTTTTGAGGATGTTCTAATTCATATTTCGTGAGAACAATCCCACATCCATGCTTGGAAAACATGTTCGCATTTCTTGTTTGATCAGCAAAAACGGGAATCTGAAAAAGCAACACTGATTCGATGACGTTAAAGTAATGTAATTTGGACTTTCCAGAATAGCTGGCTTGCCCATATAAGCAAGTTCCGTTGTGCTAGCTAATCCTCCGTGCGTGATGAAGACCGTCAAACGAGAATCGGCTAAAAAAAGCACATCCGCACTGGGTTGCTAAGGCTTTTGCCATACACACATAATTCTAGCAAACTGGTGAAGCTTCGTTATTAGTTTGTATTAACAGTAAAAGTTAAACCACAATTAAATTTAATCACCAAGTAAAGCATTCTGTGGGACCCACGTGCTGAGGTGAACGTTCTTCAAGTGTCCCGCTATCGTTGAACCTTCTTCCTCATATTTCCAAATGAAGGTTGTCTCAGGCATGCTTTCAAATACTTCTAGAAGAGTTTTCCTGAATATATTATTGTTTCAACACCTTGCTGTATATGACTGTTCCTGATTTTTAACTTGTATTGTTCTGGCATGTAGATTGATTTGACCACTGATCCAAATGAGACCAGTACAGTAGTGTTACGCTTGTTTAAGATGTCATCCCATTCCTAAAAGAACGATAAGTTTCTGGTCTGCTGAGCAAGTCCTCTGGCGTACCTTAGATAGTTCGTTCTTTTTTTGATCCACTGCAACAGCTATTCCACCGATTGCCACCGTCTTATGAAGAACTGGACGAGGGTAATCGAGATAAGGATTTGAATTAGTGAATACAAACGATGCTTTGGAAATGAGCTCCTGCAAAGGAATATGTGAACCAAAAACTATTCAGCAGAATGAATTTGGTAACAAGCATTATGGCTTAGAAACAAATGTATACTATGTGAGAGCTTACATCATAGTCTTTGAACTGCTGCCCAAATTTTGCTCGGAAGACCTTGATTTCTTCATCATATGTTCGTGTGAAGAAAATATTTACCAGCAACACATTAACAAAGTTTCCGAGTCTACCAAAGAAATTCATGCGATCACCCGTTGCCGACCATGATGCTTAAAACGGAATACTATGCGAAATCGGGTTATAGAACACTTGAGTTAGTAGGGAACTAGGAAGTAATAAAAGACAAAGGAACAGTGACTTTCACTGTTTTGCTCGTCGAAAATAGTGTTTCGGCTTCGAAATTACAAAAAAGGAAGTCTTAATGCTTTCCTGGCACATAACCGGGCGTGATGGGCTCTCCAATGCTCTTAGAAACGCAGTCGATGTGCACTCCAGAAAATGTAGCAATCGTCGCAGGAATTTTGAGAACTTCAAAAATTCCTGAACGATGCTAGAATTGAGCAGGAAAAGCTTTTAAATCAAATCTTTGTAGTTCATGCAAAGTCACTCACCCAATCCGCAAATGTCGAAAGTTTCTGAGATGCCGACATCAAACTTCTCGTTTTCGAGCATCTTCATCAATTTTTCATCATGGGATAGACCTTAACAGTGTTATGTTAACAACTGCATTCTCAGCCAGCAATTCGTCATTCAAAATAATCAGCATAGGTGATAAAATTGTAAAATTTGAACTGAAATAAGCAATGATCAAGACAGACAATACAATGCTTGAAAATTTGATACGTAGTAAATTTTGTAAATAAAACACACACCTTCACATAGGTAGGCGAATGATTTGGTCATGTTTTCCGTTGCCTAGAACGAAGTTTTGCTTTCGAGTTTCAAAAAAGTGATGTTTTTATGGCTTTAACGAACGTTTGTTTAACATTAACACCAAAGCCCTATCTTTTCGCGTAAACCCCAAGTGTAGAAAAATTTTGCTTTTGTTTTAAATTTAATTTATATGACCGATTTTCAAGCCAAATATGGCTATAAAGGCACTTCTTGCATTCGATTGTTTTCCTTAGATTAATTATCTGTGAAAGTCTTCGAATTCTCGCGTGTTCATCTTGCTGCTGTTTGAAAATTTTTGCCTTCTTTATGAAGGTTGTTGAATGCTACTTGCGTCTATTTCCACTGGAAAGCTATCGTAGTCGTGCTAGAGCGTTGACACGTAGAGCTCAGAAATTGCACGACGTATGCAGACATGGGTCGCTTGGTGGGCTAGGGCTAGGACGACAGGGCATCGAACCAGTACTCTGTTTGTGATAAACGGCATAATTATTCATCAACATGGTTGAGTTCAAGCACTGCGCTATAGGTTGGCTGTTTCACAACCACGTTAACGAGCGAATGCACTGGAAGCTGTGGTTAATTCTGGTTCTTTATGGTTATCTCTGAATCTTAGAAGTTGCATCGCTTATAGTTTTCAGCAGGCTGGTCCAATTCTGAAGTTTAAGTGCAGTAGGTTTAAAGCCACAAGACATTCTGCATCTTAAGATCGAATTGCCAACGATGTCCCGTTTTGTACTTTCTAATAAAAACTCATGAGTTAGTACCCGCTGATGATCTTGGCCTAAACCGACCACCAAACGTTCAAGGTTAGACCCATCATCGACTGCGTACACAGGAATAGAATAGCCTGGTTTATAAACTTAATCCACATGCAGTTGACGAAACACATCTCAGCTCATCTCACTATTATCCAAATGTATCTGAGTCGTCTACGTCACGTGTGTCCTGACAGCGCGTAAGTGACTTGGAGACCTTCGACGTTACCGCTCTTTATGTTATATTATAATACAAACGTGTCGAATGACTCTGTAATTCGAGGCATACGCGTGCTCCTTATGCAGCACTAAAGAGCAACAAACGTGTGCTGTCGATTCAGCAGCTCATGAGCCACTTAATGGAGCGCTTAAACTGCTTAATATTCGGAGTGTTCGGAAAATATTGCGCACGAGTGAAAGGGCTCGAAATGGGAGAGCGACTGGCACCTAACCATGCCATTTCCTTTATGTCTAAGATAGAAGCACCAGTAATCGATCCCCGGCCATTAATCTAGTGTAAATATATAGATGATATATAGATGAATAAATAGATGACTGCTATGCCATTTAGTCCACACAATAAGAGACGGACAAGTCTTTTGAGCCATTGGACAAATATTCAAACCACATTAAATTTACTCTACAGAAACCGAAAGGAAACTGGCTTTCATTTTTCACAGCATAAATCGATCTATCCAAAAATGACTATATCACGTGCTGGTTCACCACCTCCCTTCTCCGGGCTCACACGCGTGCTCATAAGAATGGTTCGAAATACCAACAGTGTGTGCACAGCTATGGAGCAGAAAGAAGAATCCTTGAAATTGGCGCGAAAATGGCCAAACGAAACAGTAGCTCATCGGGTAGCTGTAGAGGAAAAATTACTGCCCAAAACAATAAGTCTAGTGTAAGCAGCGCCCTAATCCTTCTGCTCCTCATTTCCAACGAAATAAATGCAGCCATAAAACGCTGCCGATGTAGAAAATTGGTTGCATGTATTGAAATACCACCGAACACTCTAAGAGGCCACCTGCATTCTACATGCATTTGTATTTGCGAAACGCACAATCACGTAATTTGCCCTAACGGGAGACACAGTGAATACATGGGATCAGTTACCGTATATCTAATCTTTTGTAAAGCTTGTGGGGATGAATGCGCTGGTTAAGCGGGTAGACCATTCGGCGTCCGTGTAAAAAGAGCCTATAGACGGTAAGCTTAAGGCTAAATAAAATGCTCACTAAGTGAGCATAGGACACAGACATAACAGGGAACGTTTTGAAGTAGAAGTTATAATCCTCACACAAGAATCTGAAAGTTCAGCGAGCTCGAACAATCCAAAAATGAACCACAAAGAGGAGTGGCCTGGGATCATACGTGATCTCTACGTCATACTTCGGATCGATTATTTGATATGAACCAGGCACAGTTCTCACCCACTTCGCTCGTCTCTAACGATAGCCAGAGGACTTATACAAGAAAAGAGAAGAAAACCAGAAAACGGTGATTGTTTAAGAGAAGGCGTTCAGTATTCGAATAAACATCTATCCACCAAGTTTTATCCGCTGAGATTATGAAAAGTGTCCTCCTCAGATCAATCCCGTCGGGGGGGAGGGGGTGATTGCAGATAGCTTCAATAGGTTTAAACACGGCTGAGAGAAAGGTGAAACGAAGGACCTGCATGGTGTGGTGGTGAACGCGCTAACCGCCGAAAGCGGTCAGAGTAAGTTGGATCCCCACCGCAGACATCAGCGGTCAGTAGTTTTGAAAATATCTCAGCATAATTGTAGTTATACTTCACATCACAACCTGTCATGAAAAAGAGAAAGCATAAAAAAAGTGACGACATTACGAAGGGTATAGCCACAGTGATGCTGAGATATTTGTAAAACACCGGACAGGAGCCGTTTCTAGTGGGGATCGAACACGTTGCAACTCTTTGCGGAGGCTAACGCGTTCACTATCACACTATGCGATTTCTTGTGAATAAATCTTAATAAACGTTTTATTGACTCATAAGAAAAACCGTGAATTATTGTTAGGCAGTAATTAGATCATTGAAGACTTCGTATACACAGAAATCTCTCGAAATCTTTTATTGCAGAGCGAGAGTGCTTTGAGTGTCGACCTGCGATAGAATGAACTGAGTTCCTTCCTCGGTAGGTCAGCATGTCTGACGAAGGGTTCGAAATTTAAATTCAGAAATCCAACTGAAGACGAAGTGAATATTATGGCCCAATAAAATTTCAGTATGAGCCTATTATTGAATCCCATTAAGCAATACCTTTAACACTGCATTTTTATACCTCAGATGTTCGATTTCATCCACCAGCAATTTGGCGGTGGAAAATACTTGAATCATAATTTTCGAGACCACTTAAACTTGTGTGATTCATCTTACTTGATTTTGACAACATAGAGTGTTCAACGAAATGACGTGCCTTTAAAAGTCCAAGAACACTGTTGCCAGTTGTCCATATATGGCTAAGCATCTCCCTTTCATGCCTCATGATATCATATACTCGCTGGTCCGCTGGAATTTTAATGACGTTTTTTGTGAGCTTCAGACCTGTCTTGTCCTTTTGCTCGATTTCCATCACCGGCATCAACACAGTCTGAAAACACTGCTTTATCCATTGTTTCAAATGTAGGCTTTATTATTACTATTTCTTGAATCATTTTTTAGACAAATGATTGTTTTTTTATTTATTAACGTTACTCGTTCTACAATGGCATTAGCATTGGCTCGAAAAGGGTATGGACAAAACAGTTTCATCACCAAAAGTGCTCACACTGACCCTGAAAAAACGTTGTGCGAGAACTGCAGTATGATGTTATGGAAGTGAGAGCCGATGATCGACAACTGTGGTAGCTTCGTCTCAATGATGTCATTATTCTTCTAACAACAAGTGTTAGCCAGGAAGGACAAACTCCAGTCAAATTTGGGAATTCGTGCTAAAGGATTTGCCTTTGACTAAATCTCAAGAAAACAATGTTTATCATAAACGGATTTCTTTCCGACACCGCATTCACGTTCAGCTAAGAAGTATTTATGAAAGGTACACTTGTGTTCACGTACATCGAGAACTCATCAAAATACATCACTGCACTCCAAAGGTGATCAAAAAGGAAATGAACGCCTTAGAAAATTTATAAGAATATCCAACATGTAAAGAGAAGCAGAAATTCCGAATTTGGGTCCACGTCTTCTGTTTTACTATTCTTAAAACTTTGACGTTGGAGTAACGAACCTGGTTGCTACTCAGGCGAAATGGAAGACCGTTGAGAAATACTGGCTGGAGGGGTAGTCGAGAGGGTGATGCAACAAATATCCCGTGTAGTACAAGTGAAAGGACAAATCCGAATTTTCGGCCTACGTCAAAGAACAAAGAACGAAAACGTTGGCATTGAGGCGAAACTGCTGGAAATTGCGTTGGTCGGGCACATGATACTTCTTAACGGTAACGGATGGACAAAAGCTGTTAGCGACCGAACACATTCCGTGGAATTACGAGCATACAGCAAGAAGAACGCCGGCTTAATGACCAAAATCTTCTACAGTAAACCAAAAACAATGAGGATCAACGACTGCACAGAGCGGAGAGAATCCATCGAGCTTTTTTGCAGCCGACGGGAATAAACGGTTATTTTATCTACAGGTGGCTGCGTCGACAATCAATTCGACGGCAAACGATGAAAGTGGTAAGTATTCCTGGAATTATAAATGTCATAATGGTTGCTATCACTGGACGTTATTTCAACTTAAATTTCGAACATCAGTGCGAATAGACATCGATGATGGCTTTCTTTTCTCGAAAGTTAAACCCTTCCACGTTCATAGGGTTTTATTTCGACCTTTAATCTGCGAGGTGCCCGAGTCGATCTAGCAGTATTTGCAATATTTCTCAGTTAAAAGACTGAACGGTGTCTCATTTGATTCCTGGTAGCTGTTTGATCTATAAGATAAATGAAGCTGATAGTTTTCGCTCAACAGCGAGACGTCTTTTGGTGAACGGAGCTTTCAACCCCACGTTATACAACTGTGGCCTCGTTGACGTTGTAATTTTCCAAGAATCACACTGATGTAAAGGCATTAGCGTGGACAACGGTTTTTCCTCGTCACCGACATTCAGAAAGAACAAATACGCCATCCACAGCAAAAATCTTCTTTTGTCACTGCTTACTCAAATTCTAGTGAGAATATTCTGAAGTCTGCGATGAGAATCTGAACTCACGACATTGTGACCTGCTTCCGTCAAGGTGTCAGCTATTGCTCCCATAAAATTTGTATGAGAATATCCGAACAAGGGCGAATTAACAAGGAATTTGTAAGCATCACAAGCAACCAAAGACGAGCATATGAAAGCCCAATGCTGTATCATATCTGAAATGAGCTTTTTGTAACGCAGGAGATTATGTATACATTGAGGCACCATTGTGAGTGACAGACGAATAAAACGCAATCTTATTCGCAGTAGTGCTACGTAATTCGGGTACAGGAAAAAGACTTGCATCCACAACGTTGCTGAGATATTTGCAAATAAGAGATCAACCCCGCTGACGGGTGATTGCTGTGGCAAAGAGATCGATAGAAATAGCTGAGAGACGTGCGAAACAAAGGACCCGCATGGTGTGGTGGTGAACGCGTTACTCTCCGGAAAGGATAATAGCGCGTTCGTTCCCCACCATAGACACCTGCGGTCCAGAGTTTTGCAAATATCTCAGCAACGTTGTGGTTGTATTTCGCTTAGTAACCTGCCATGAAAATTATAGAAGGCAGAAAACAAAACGTTAAACATTGTAAAAGACTTGCATGTTTTTTTTGGGGGGAGTTAGAGGTTAGACCTATCATTAGCTGTGTAGACGGGGCAACGGATAGGATAACATGGTTTTTAACCCTAATATTTACCCAGTTGTTGAAACACATTCCAGCCCATCTTACGAATACCCAGATGTTTCTGGATCGTCTACGTATTGCGCAGCCCAACAGCGCGTGCGTGATGGAGTCCTTCGACGTTACCGCCCTTTATACAAACGTATCGAATGACTCTGCAATGCAAGCCATATTCGAACTCCTTACACAACACGAAGGAGAAATAAACATGTATGGCTTCAAGATAGAGCACCTGATGGCACTCTTAAAAGGATGCTTGGGCTGCTCAATCTTCAGATGGTCCGGAAAGTACTATGGTCAAATAAGAGGGTTGGCAATGGGACAACGACTGGCTCCAAGCCTTGCCATTGCATTTATGTCTAAGGTGGAAGCACCGGTGACTGATCTCGGGCCGCTACTCTACTGTAGGTATGTAGACGACTGCTTTGTCCTTTGCTCAACACAAGAGGAAATGGACAAATGCTTCGAATTGTTAAACGCACAGTCAGAGTATATCAAGTTCACCCGAGAAAAGCCGAAAGAAAAATGGCTTCCATTCTTGAACGTACAAATTCACCTATCAGAAAATGGCTACATTACAAAGTGGNCAAATAAGAGGGTTGGCAATGGGACAACGACTGGCTCCAAGCCTTGCCATTGCATTTATGTCTAAGGTGGAAGCACCGGTGACTGATCTCGGGCCGCTACTCTACTGTAGGTATGTAGACGACTGCTTTGTCCTTTGCTCAACACAAGAGGAAATGGACAAATGCTTCGAATTGTTAAACGCACAGTCAGAGTATATCAAGTTCACCCGAGAAAAGCCGAAAGAAAAATGGCTTCCATTCTTGAACGTACAAATTCACCTATCAGAAAATGGCTACATTACAAAGTGGGGGGACAGTCGTACTACGGACAGTCGTAGTCGTACCAGTCGTCTGAGTACCGAAAGCCAAGTAGTAAAAATATCTTGGTTCATTACCTCTCCTCTCACCCCTCTCACACGAAAAGGGCGCTTATAAGAAACATGTTTCGAACAGCAACCAACGTGTGCACGGGAAGAGAGCAGAGAGAGGAGTCCCGGAACTTGGCACGGCAAATAGCCATTTCTAATGGCAACGAAACTGTAGCTCNAGTCGTACCAGTCGTCTGAGTACCGAAAGCCAAGTAGTAAAAATATCTTGGTTCATTACCTCTCCTCTCACCCCTCTCACACGAAAAGGGCGCTTATAAGAAACATGTTTCGAACAGCAACCAACGTGTGCACGGGAAGAGAGCAGAGAGAGGAGTCCCGGAACTTGGCACGGCAAATAGCCATTTCTAATGGCAACGAAACTGTAGCTCAGGATAGGTGTAGGAAAAATCCTAGGCCTCCAAACAACAACTCTAGCGATAGAAGGGTCCCGTTTATTCTACCTTTCATCTCAAATGATATAAGTACAGCTATAAAACGCTGCTTAAGAAGGACGGGTTTAGAGAATTCGGTAAGCGTAGTTGAAATACCACCGAGTAATCATGAGCGCCAGCTAGTTCGTATCCGCCTATATGACCGTCTATGTGCAACTCAAAATTGCATAATTTGTGATTGCATGAGCTCGGGTATAGTTTATCTGATCTCCTCTAAGACGTGCGGAGACGAATACATTGGTGAAACGGGCAGACCCCTCTGTGTCCGCATAAAAGAACACCTAGCCGGCAAACATAGACCAGATACCCCGCTACGCACGCATAGGACCCAGAGATATAACGGAGAGGACTTTGAAGTATGTGTCACGTTCCTCGCACGCGAATCAAGAACACAGGCGCGAAAAACTCTCGAGGCACTCTGGATTAATTCCAGAAATCCGAAAATGAACCGCAGGGAAGAATGCCTCATTATCACGCGTGATATAGGGCCGTATAAAAGACTGCTATTCTGATGGGAGGGCACATTATGCTTCCATGTGATTTCTGTGCGGTTGGTCCACTACGTGACATACTTAGTGGAAAACTCATATAAAGCGGTGAGTGTGCAAAGCTGGGTTCAATGTGATTGAAATCTTGGTTTAGAGTTTCTTTGTTTGGTTACGGAGGCGTCTGGCCGAGTAGATTGCTATCAACTTGACCTTTCCAGGTTCTGAGGAAGACGAAATCCACCGAAACGTCAGGTTATTCGTGAATAGAGAATAATAACACCTTGCGTTTGCTCAATAAAAATGCGAAGAATTACTTGATCAATGCCGAGGTTAATAGAAAGTCGGTCGTGGGAGTTACTGCAGGTATCAAGTATCAAGTAAGTAAATCCTTAAGAAGTGGTTGGGTGACTTGGTGCTGCTCTCACATTGGAGGTTGAAGTGCCACGGTATTGAAGACACATAAGGCTTCATCTGTACTTTTGGAACTAGTGAGGTTTACAGTTTGGTCATCTGTCATTTGTATGATTTTTCCTTGTTTTGAAAAGCTTAGAAGACCTACAGTGCCAGAAAAGTGGTTGTTTTGATATTGCTGGAGCGACTATTTAAATAAAGCGACGTGGAATTTTCCGCACTATAAGCAGCAATTATGAGTGAAATAGATGTTGTGATATTTACACTGTGAAAGTGTAGCGGGAGATAAATGGCTAAGTATTGGTCGCGCAGCGGAATGTTGGTCTTCAAGTCAGCCTTCGGCACCGAATAATCACTAGGTTGAAGTAGAATGCTTGGCTTTGCACGAATTTGCACAGCGGAATTTCTGACATTTTGCCACAGAGCATAATTTCCGGCTTCGGTAATTAAATAGTTCATAGCAGTAATAATACAGCAAAAATGACATGGTAGTACCGAAACAATACAGGCAACATCATGGCGGCATGATCAATAAGTGTGGGTGAGACAATGTGTAAGGGAATGCTTAGAAGTGAGAGATTAGCTTTCTTGTAGACTGGTGGATTGATGAGATCTTCGTGTGTGTGTTGGAATACAGTAGTAACGGTACATGATGTTATCATATTAGTAGATTTAGGCGTTTGGTGGTAGCTTGGTGAGTTTGACATTTTGAAAGGTGGTGTAAACTTGTGATAATATTGCAGTGAGGTTAGGGTGTTAACGGTACATGTAGACTCGTGATAACATTGCAATGAGGTCATCGCATTAAAGAATGTGATAGGTGCAAGGTGATAAAACCAATTATAATGGCCGCACAACGAAATTAATGCGCTAGAAGGTGCGTGACAGTTAAATGAGGCTAAAGTGCAATAGTGAGCCCATGGCAATAGAGTTAACAATTGGGATTTGACTGCAATGATTTTAGCCGAAGTACCCAGAGATGAATACTGCGCCACCAGTGTACAAGTGAATGGTGTGACGCTATCCATGTTCGAACTGGGGTGAGAAAGTCGCAGAATCGAGTCACAAGGCGGTATTGCTGTACCTGGTGGTGTGACCGGTGGTTATTGAGGAGTAACGATATAGGGCAAGCAAGCAGGCCTCGGTTCACGTAATTTGAATTGTAACTGCTCACATAGTAAAAGTAAATAATGTTGGGAGAGGGTGCTTATTATATACGTGACACGAGAAAGGCTATTCTATAAAGAGTAGGGAATATTCTCTGCAACTAATGTAAGTTTTTATTCCATTTCTAGATGACATAAGGTTGTTAATATGACTTCCTTTTCATAACAGCTATCGTATGGCCGAACCGAATTTCTAGTTCTTCGGAGCATGTAAAAGGTAATACTACCATACATCCTACTCAGTTATACATTTCATAACTTCAACGAGCAAAAATTGCTCCTGCGACCGCCTTTCCATGAACTTCGCCATTAATTAGTAAGTTTGTATTTTTTGACGAGCGCAATAGTTGTTTTTCGCTCCTTAGTCTTTGGGCTGATTTCACCCTCTTCAGATCTTGAAAAAGTCGAACAACGTACTCTGCCAAATGCTCTCATAAACCTAATAGAAAAACACGAAATCGCTCAGACAAGCGGTTACGAACTACCTGGCATCTTAGAATGCTTGATGGCACTTCGATAAATAACTATCGAATTTTGTGGGCCGGGAGGTTTTAAGCACGGTTTTATAGCCGTGTTTACTCCATTAGAAATAAAGGACGTGTTAAGAGGATTCTTAATTTTTCTAGATATATTGTTTGACAGCGTGGGTTTTTCTTTAACCTGATCCCCGGGTTAAAGGAAAACCCACGCCGTCAAGAACCCTACTCCGATCGCTTCTTAGGCACTGCAAATGTCCATTTTCTGTGCCAAGTTATGTGATTCTTCATCCTGTTTTCTCCTCGTGCAGACAGTGATGGCTCCTCAAAGCATGGTTTTCGCAAAAACTCCTTTTATGCGTGATCTGTGAAAGGAAACGTAATGGACCAATAGGTTCTTATTGCTTAGCTTTCGATGTTATCTGGTAATGTAACCGTTTTCAGATAGGTTTATTTGAACCTTTAAGAATACAGGCAGTTTGCTTTTATTTTCTCTCAGGTCTATTTTATATACTATGACTTTTCGTTCAGCAACCCAAAATGTTTATCTACTTCCTTTCTTGTTAATCAGATGGCAATGAAATCACTGGTATATTTGCAGTTCAGCAGTGACCCCAGATTGAGCACTGTGGTTTCTATTCTAGACCTGTGCGCAATGGCAAGAGTTGGTGTCAATCTCCAATGCTTCGCCAACCCTTATATTTGTGCGAGCCTTGAAGGATGATAGATCGCTACACACACGATCATTGATAAATCACCAATGACTTATTCTTACTACTTATAAGTAGGTATAAGACAGGATATATTGGTAATATTATTTAACTTTTCGTTGAAACATAAGCGGTGGTTTCAAATCCTTACGCTCTATTACCTATTTTCTATTCAAATTTCCGTACTAACTCATGAATTTCTTTTCAATTGATAGGAGATAAAGTGAAAAATTTTGAAGATATCGTTCAGTTATATCAACATCTAAATAACGAATATTAACAACAAACAATCTACCTCTATCACTAAC